AGAACTTTTAGACCATCTGCCAAAAGTTCTTTATGAATTCTTTGTCCTGTAAAGAGAACCTCTACAAACTTCCCCTGCAGACGGGCAAAGTCAGATCTGAGCGTATCTCCTATTACACTAAGTACTAAAACACTAAGGGAAATCAGTTGTGCACTCCGCCATCCCCAGTAGAAGGCTCATTAGTTACACTGGAACACTGGTGCCCTCTGGTATGAGCAATTGTATTTTATTGGGCAAGAACCCAGTCTCTCTCTTTTGCCTAGCAGAACCCAGATGTAGGACTCAGCAGTAGCTTTAAGCAAGAACAGATGTGTTGGAGCAGAGTAAATAAGTATCCCTCTCCAGAGCAACAGCAGCAGAAGCGTTTCTAACAGTAGTAGATCCTATTTTTCTAGACTTTGCTGGGGGGACATCAAACTAGCTGTTGCCCGTAAATCTTGCATAATTTTGCAGTTTACAGAAGCTAGTCCTATAACTCTTCTGCAAGAATTGTACTCTTGGATTTTGTAAGGTAAGAAATTATGTCAACTGAGTTGAAAAGAAACTCCAAAGTTACAACAGCTACCCCATAAAAAAAAAAGGCCTTTCTGTAGAGTAACCTTTACAAAACCAATGTCTAAAGCTGAGGAGGAAACACAGAACTTAAAAATGAATTTAGGACTCTAGTGAGGGATTTACTTTACAACATATGTTTTCTAATATTTTTTTTTTCTGCTAGAAACAGTTAATGGTCTCAAGTATTTTCCTGTTTCTTTCAATGAAATAAGACAACATTACCAAAATACAAGATCAATATAATTTACCCTATCAAGGCAAAATCTGTCATTATTTAATGCTCGGGCTTGCAGAGTTACTTTGACACTTTTAAAAATTATCTTCAATCTGAGATCCATATGTATTTAGTTGTAGTATCTAACAGCACAAAGCAAAACAATTATAGAATCAGAGAATGGTTAGGGTTGGAAGGGACCTTCAAGACCATCTAGTTCCAACTCCCCTGCATGTGCAGGGACACTTTCCCCTAGATCAAGTTGCTCAAAGCCTCATCCACCCTGGCCTTGAACACTTCCAGGGATGGGGCAGCCACAACTTCTCTGGGCAACCTCTTCCACTGCCTCACCACCCTCAATGAAAAAAATTTCTTCCTTATATCTAATCTAAATCTCCCCTCCTTCAGTTTAGATCCATTGTCCCTTGTCCGATCACTACACGTCCTTGTAAAAAAGTCGCTCTCCGGCTTTCCTGTAGACCCCCTTCAGGTACTGGAAGGCTGCTACAAAATCACTCCAGAGCTTTCTCTTCTCCAGGCTGAACAGTCCCAACTCTCTCAGCCTGTCTTCAGAGCAGAGGTGCTCCAGCCCTCGAATCATCTTCGTGGCCCTCCTCTGGACTCGCTCCAGCAGCTCCATGTCCTTT